ACTGCCATAAGGGAGTAACAAAAACATGGTAGATTACAGGTGAAAAGATCCATAGACGTGGTCTACCCGAAGTATCTTTTAGAAATGGGAAACATAAATGGACAGTAACTTGCCAAAATTTACATGCAAAATGGACACAGAAAAGGCAGACTTGGATTTGAATGCAAGAGAATAGAAAAGGAAACCTTGAAAAACAGATTGCCTAGTGGAGACCATGGTTTTATCTGATCTAACCAACTCATTTTATTTTTATAACAGCAATTTTTAGTAAAAGTATAAAAAATTCATTGCTAGGCTGCCTTTGAATAACACTTAAATTTTATATGCATTTAATAGCTAATTTATCATAGGTAATTTATTGTATAAAATAAAAACATAAAAGAGCCCCCTTCACTATACCTCTGATCCATTCTTCTCCCCATAAATTACCAAGTAAACTGATGTGCATGTATGTACATAAATAGATTGATTTACAAAACATAAATATAACTGTACATATAAAGTATTCGTAAATTAATTGCATTAATAGATGTCCTGATGATATGCTACATCTTACTTGGTTGGTGAAGTTAAATGTTTTCCATGCAAGTTAAGAAGCAGAGCTTAGATTTGGATCTAAGACTGCTCCCCTTTCTCTACTTATATTTATTCAAGAGATTTTCAGTTTAAAATCACTTCTTTGATCTGAGATATTATTGCCTGTTAAAATATGTTCCCCTGCCAAGAGAACATATTCATCTTGACTTGCACTGCCATAAGGGAGTAACAAAAACATGGTAGATTACAGGTGAAAGGATCCATAGACGTGGTCTACCCGAAGTATCTTTTAGAAATGGGAAACATAAATGGACAGTAACTTGCCAAAATTTACATGCAAAATGGACACAGAAAAGGCAGACTTGGATTTGAATGCAAGAGAATAGAAAAGGAAACCTTGAAAAACAGATTGCCTAGTGGAGACCATGGTTTTATTTGATCTAACCAACTCATTTTATTTTTATAACAGCAATTTTTAGTAAAAGTATAAAAAATTCATTGCTAGGCTGCCTTTGAATAACACTTAAATTTTATATGCATTTAATAGCTAATTTATCATAGGTAATTTATTGTATAAAATAAAAACATAAAAGAGCCCCCTTCACTATACCTCTGATCCATTCTTCTCCCCATAAATTACCAAGTAAACTGATGTGCATGTATGTACATAAATAGATTGATTTACAAAACATAAATATAACTGTACATATAAAGTATTCTGTAAATTAATTGCATTAATAGATGTCCTGATGATATGCTACATCTTACTTGGGTTGGTGAAGTTAAATGTTCTCCATGCAAGTTAAGAAGCAGAGCTTAGATTTGGATCTAAGACTGGCTCCCTAGCCCAGAATTTTAAACACAAAGCTATATTGTATATCTAACATTTAATTAATTATACATCTAGTGAAATATCTGAGGGATATGTAGTCCACTGTTTTAGATACTGTAGAATTTACCAACAGCTTCTGGATGGTATGATTTGACACTCATTCCTCCCTCAAATTATTGTAGCTGAATTGCACTGTGGCTTATGTTCAGTAATAATTTTATAAAACAAACCCATGAAATCTGTTATTGTATTCATTCTGAGAGTATTATGGAAAGCATTGCTCCTATTGTTAACAGTGCTCTCTATGAGGTCTCATAATTTAAATTTTTCTCTGGTTTCTATACCTGTAATAGTTATATATCTGGTGAGTAGTGCTGTTTGTTTTTAATTTGAGAGGGCACCACATAACCAATTCTCTCTCTCATCCTATTAGCTACTAGAAAGCTTAAGCCAGGTCTGGAGTTTAGTTCTAATTTTATATATGAGATTTACTACATTCTTTTACAAAACAACCTTTACTCTTGAGATTTACTGCATTCGTTTACAAACTGACCTCACTTTTGACCCATTCCATTTGTCTGATACTCTCCATGCTCTCATTTCTAAATTTTATTTGCATTTTTGATATTTCCTCAAAGCATTTTTGAACACAAGATATCGGAAGCATTCGGGCAACATTGCACATAGTACTATGAGGCTAGGTGTGGCTTCTACTGGAGCCAGTTGCAGTATCACATGGTACTAAGAGACATGGACTCTACAGCCAGATCATTTGTGTTTAAAGCTTGCCTCTGCTGCTTCTAACTATGTTATCTTGGGAAAATGACTTACCTCTGTATGACTGAGTTTTCTCAATTGTGAAAGGAAGACTATAATAGCGTGGCTCTACGTGATAACTGCCAGTCTGAAAGTGAGTCATTTCACGCAAAGTGATGTACCAGTTTAGAAGAGTGCCTGGTCTAGGAAATGCTAGATGATTATAACAGAGAAGCCAGTAGAGCAACTCTGTGGATTTCTTCTTGAATTTATCAAATTAATGAATTAATAGTTAATTTTAGGCCCACAGATTATCAACACTGAGAATAATAATCAAGATCAACTTGTTTAACCATCCATGTAGAGCAGGAATCATCTCCACAACATCCAAGTAAAAAAAGATAATAGCTCTTCTGGCAGGAACAGAATTTGTTTTTTCAGTAACTACTTCTAGAGAATTCTTATTATTCTAAATGTCTTCTTTGAACATTATAGTCAGCTCTCACTTTTCTCTATTTTTTCCCCTCTTTTTTAGCATCATTAACCCAATTGAAGCAATCCCTGAGAAATAACTTCATTTTCAAAAATATAAGTTATCCTACACTGAAGATCTTAAATCTAAAATTAGAGTAATGAGAATGATGTTACTTTTTTTGAGAACTCAAAATATCTATGTTTGAAAATTGAATTTGAGAAAGAAATGGAAATAATGGTTGGGGGGAGAGAAGCATGTGAAGTCAGAAGACCCATAGTCTAGGTTAAGTTCCCTGAACTAGTGACCTCCCACTTTCTTTCCCCATACTGGGTCTCAACCGTACAATGGATAAAACCCTAAGGGTGAAATAAATGATTCCAAAGGTGCAAACACTTCTGAAATTACACGCTAACTGCTTCTTGGCCACTTTATTGCTTATCAGAACCTCCACCAGAGGGTGCACAGGATCAGGAAGAGAAAGTGAAACAAGTTAGCTTGTTAGCAATTGTTAGCACTGGAAAATACATTGAGTGGCTCAGAAATTAGAATTAAAACTAGAATTAAAATTAGAATTAAAAAATAAAAGAGGTAGTTAACATTTAGAATCGACTTTAATTATAAGAATAAGGTCTAGTTTTAAATGGAAAAAAAGAGAAGCAGGAGGAGGGATATAAAATAATACACAGTCCTGGCCAGGACCTTAGATGTCAAGATTCAAAAATAAGAACCTTCTACCCTTTAATTGGGCCAGGACACCAAGAGAATTTCCCGGCATCCACCACTGCGTGGGATACTACATCTCTAGTGTTTTCATATTTTCATTTAATATGTAAATATTTTCTGATTACAAAGTGATTTATAAACATTATAAAAATTCAAAAAATATAAAAATATTGAAATGATAAAATACTTCATAATACCATCTTCATTAGAAGTAAGCACTGTTAGCAGTTTGTGCATATTTACATTTAACTAATAGTTATTTTGGTGAAATCATTGTATTTATGTAAAAGAGTATTTACAAAGTAGGATTGAGTTATTTATACTATTTTACTTAACAAGATTTTTAATTAGTAACGTAAATCTACATTCTTTTTGATGACTGAAATAGTATTCCTTTGTAAGTATGTGCCATTAATTATTTGTTAAATCTTTTATTGGTGGTCACTTGTCTTAGAATTCTTGTTAAAGTCATACTTCAGTTGCCATTTTTTACCAGCCATTTGTACCTCTGAACTTGGCGAAACCATACAGATGTTCAAAAACAAAAAAAGAAACAAACAAAAAGCCCAGAAGCAGAAAATTTACATATAGAAGAGGATGAAATAATACATATTTTGGAGATTTTTTTAATGTTTGGGGTAAAAATTTTAAGTTGACACTTCACATATGTTAAAAAGTAATTTCTGACTAATGTGATGATGGCATGACACGCTGCCTCCTGAGGGATGCTGGAAGCAATAAATTAACTGACATCTATGAATGTTTTCAAGCTGAAAATTATTGAGTGTTATTTTAACAATGGATGAAGAAGACATTGGTAAGTATAGCTCCATCTCAGAAGCGTAGTGGGCTGTGATGAGCAGGTTTCCACTGTTTAGGCTCAGAATACCTTAACAGTGGCCCATATATCGAGGTATGAAAAAAGTCCATTGGCAAACATACATTCAGGGCACCATGTCAGGCATAGCTCTGAGGGACTCTGGAATAAATAACACAGATTTCTCTACACCTGCAGAGTTAAACTTTCTGAAAATCACACTGTGAACTTTGTTTTTGAGTGATCTTTTTAAACTTATCTCAGGAATAACTGAGTACCTAAATATACAAATGCTTTGATCATCCTGACTGAAGGGATCAACTTCTAACTCCTTAGTAAATGGTACTTGTGACCACTTTCACTCACTTTCCTTCTAGCCTAACTTTTTCCTCACCAGTTGTCCAATGAAAGTGCAACCAATTGTTAAATGCCTGCTATTCCCTACCAAGATAGTAAAGGTTAACAGATATTATGAACTTTCCCTATAGAATTTGGATTTTAAGGGACTCTAGATTAAAGGAATGGTGGAATGGTTATCTGCCTAATACCTAATACCTGTGACACGTTGGCTCTGAAGAGTTAGTCACTGCCATATCGATACACAACAGTATTTGTAACTCCAGAATCAAACCTACTTCAGTGCAATTGTCTGTTTCTATGTCTGGTAGCATCACATTTATCTATATCCTCAGTGAGCATATGGTAAACACTTGCTTAAGTGTGGGGAGGGATATTGGTATGATGATAAGTCGTTGATTGTTCTGGGGAAACAGGTGTGATCAGTATAAATTTTATGGTCTGGAGAAATAGGCTTTGGCCATCTAGAGTTCTAGCACTAACTTCTCTTCCTTTATCACTAGGTGTGTAAATTATAATGATCAACACCCTAATGGTTGGTATATCTGGTAAGGATATCTTCAATTTATTTTATAAGACATTGGGTTGTATAGACACACTTTTCCCCCCAAACAATTTGAGATGGCACAAGAAATCATACAGCTTAAGGAAATTTTAGGGTCCATGCAAATCCATATCTATAGAAACATTGCTTTTAGGTTGTTGTCCAGTATTTACTTAAACACTAATTGTGATAAATAATTCACTACTTTTAAGAATAAGAGTTTTTTCTAGTGTTGGAGTTTTTTAATGGCAAACTATTTGTTCTTTCTCTTGAAATCTCCCTAAATGACTCCTCCACTGATTTTAGTTCTGGCCTGAAAAGCCATTCACAATAAGACTGCTACTTCTTCTATGAGATAGGCATTTAGAAATTTTAAGGCAGTTATTATAACCTTGTAAATCTTGATGTTTGTATTTTCTGAACTTAACATTGTCAGTTCTCAGCCGGGCAAGGTGGCTCACGCCTGTAATCCTAGCACTCTGGGAGGCCGAGGAGGGCGGATTGCTCCATCTCAGGAGTTCGAAACCAGCCTGAGCAAGAGCGAGACCCTGTCTCTGCTATAAATAGAAAGAAATTAATTGGCCAAATAATATATATAGAAAAAATGAGCCGGGCATGGTGGCACATGCCTGTAGTCCCAGCTTCTCAGGAGGCTGAGGTAGGAGGATTGCTTGAACCCAGGAGATTGAGGTTGCTGTGAGCTAGGCTGATGCCACGGCACTCATTCTAGCCTGGGCAACAAAGCAAGACTGTCTCCCCCACCCCCCACCAAAAAAAAAACATTGTCAGTTCTCTCAATTAGACGGTTAGCACCTCAAAGACAGAGGCACTGTCTTGTCTACTTTTGAGTGTCTAACCCTAATATCAAAAAGGGTTCAGTTGCTTGAATACCAATTAAATGAATAGATGGATGGCTGAATGAAAAGAAGAATGGATGAATAAATGACCACCTGGAAAGATTGACCCCCTCTGAAGGCAGAGACTGTTTCAGCTTCAGTGAGAATGTATGAGTGGTAGTGGTAGAAGGGGGAGGGGGGAATTGCTTGACCATTTCAGTATCCCAGATTACTTTCAACCAGTCTAGCTGAGTCTTTGCCCCATTTCTAAGCAGCAACAGAAGCTCTTAGCTTCCTGCATGCTCTACCTCACTCCTCTACTGCTACTTTTGGCATTAGGCTCCTCCTGCTGATTTTCCTGGTGGCTCTTCTTTGTGGAGTAGTGCTCTTATGTCTCCAGTGCTGTCTGAAGAGACCCCGAATTGACTCCCAAAGACGCACAGTGGCCGTTGTTGCTGTTGGAGACTTGGACCCCATTTATGGTGAGTTGTCTACACACTTCTGGACTCCTCTTTGAAACGTGGTTTTGCGGTGAAATGAAAAACTATTCTCTGAAAAACAGATTTGTTAACTTAGAACAAGACACGGCGTATTGGAAACTTGAAGGCATGCATTGACAGAGAGTTTAAGGGAGAAAGATTCAGAAAAAAGGAGATGCCAGAAGAAAGAAAAGGTATCTTGGAGAATTGACTCATAGCTGAGTGTGGGGCTGGAAACTAGACATTTGGCTCAGTTGACAAGCAGAAGAGAAGAGATATGCAGAGCTGGGCACTCCAAGTGAGGGGTAGGATTTAAGGTGCATGAAAGTATCTCTGAGATTTTGATATCAGTCTACCCTAACCTCTATTTGTAATCTCATTAACTAAGCTTTCTATGGCTTACTTAACTCATCTGAAGTAACATTGAAGCACATTTTCCAGATTGTCTGCTGCAAATGCAGAGTCTGAAATAAGTGGAATTGAGCAAGAAAGTGTCAATCCTCATGCCCTTTCACAGACACACTGGTGGCACCTGACCCTGCCACTCCCAACCCCTGCTCCCAAAATCATGCCCCTCCATCATTTTCCAGTTTGCATACGGAGGAGTAATGGAGGAAACTAAGGGTTATTTGCAGCTGCCAGCCTTAGCTGCAAGTAAAAAAAAAAATTACATTTACTGGTTTTTGAAAGAGCATAGCTATTTCTTTATACTAAGCATTGTTCTCCCCCAGAGACTGTTACGAGACTTGACTTTAACGTACTGCTTTATACACCACAGTTGCCTCAAGAGTGCTCAATAGATATTAACAACTATCCTTCAGAAACTTAGGGCAGCATGAGATTTTCAATTGATGAAGCAAGGTGCGCCCTGGGAAAAACTAACAGCTCAGTAAAAAAGTGGAGTAAAAATAAACTAAATTGTTAGTACTCTAAGATTTAGTGATATCCGCTATTGAGTTTTTTGCCTTCAAAGGTCATTATTTAACAAGCACAACACATTATAAATTTGGGAAATGGTTATTTTGGGAAGGATAATTAAAGCTTCAAGTGATAATAGTTCTTTCTCCTAAAATCAAAGGCACTTTCCACGGAGTATAGAGGGAAATAGGATCATTGATTTTCAAACAAAATATGTTAGTGAAAGGTATCAACATGGTAGCATTGGTCTATTTTTCCTTATTTAACTAGAGGTCTTTAAAATAAATTCAAATATACTTTTTTTTAACTAAACTTGAGTTTCTAAGGAGGAAAATGAAGCCTGGTTTCAGCCCTTCTCTCACTTTGAGGAATACCACTGACTAGACTATCTTGAATCTTAAAAGAATTCTGTTTTTAATTTTAAGTATATTATAAACTACTTAGTATACTGTTATAATTTTTAAAGCAGTTTCAGTGCCATGGTTATGTCCTCATTTATCTAATCTTTTTTTTTTTATTTCCTGCGGTGGCTTAATTTATATGCTCTTGAACTTGCCTGAACAAGTAAGAGAAAGGGTCAAGACAGTTATATTACTCTTCAATAATCTGCACATGTTAGCACTGAGTGCCTGCCAGTAGAATCACATTCTCTGTATTACCATGAAATTACTATGAACAGGAAAGTAAAACAATTTGAGAAGACTTTTTTTAAAAAAAAAATGTGGTCACAATTTATTTCACATCTACCAAGTGCTAGGCAGTAGGTCAAGTCTTTTCAGATATTATCTCTAATTCCTAAAAATCAACTTGGAAAAGTGGCTGTTATTTCTTTTAGAGGATGTTATCTACTTTTTTTCACTTTGCTGGGTAAATTTGCATACAAAGATGTTTGCTGAAAGTCAACTAATAGAGTTCAAACTGTCTAGAGTTGGGAATAGGGAGCCAGTGAAAATTTGGGCTGGGAACTTATGGCTCAGCCATCTCGTCCCTGGAAACTAAGTCTAGCCTCATATTTTGAATGTCCAGACATATACTATAGTGCTCCTTAGTGGTAGGGCTTGCAGTCAAGAATCTTCATTCCCATCCATCTTCATTCTCTCCCTTCCACCCAATCCTCTGGTATAGATTCTAGACCTTAATTTTCTTAAGAAGCATTTAAACTCTCTTCCCTCTTGACTTGGACTACAAAGCTCTCTTCTGTTGGTTCCCACCTTGGAGGCTACAGACTCAGCGGCCCTTTCCCATGTATCTTTTCTCATCCCCGCACAGGGTTGGGTGTTAGAGTATCCCGCCCACTGCTCATCTTCCATCCCCTCACAGGGATGCTCAGGGTAGCTGCACCGACAGTGAACACCCATTCACACCATCTTTGATATGGATGTCGTGCCCAGAGTTGTGCTTTTCTGACATTCCTTTTTCTCCTCTCTAAAATAAAATATAAGAGAGTAAATTAGGAAGTAATGATCTCTGTGTTTTCTAGTGACTTCTTAACTAGTAATTATGGAAGTAAATTTCAGAGAGTCAATATTTTAAGGCAGTCTGAAACCTGGACCCACATTGAATTTACTTTTCCCACTGGATCCTCATCGCACCTTCATTTCTCCAAACAAATGATTCTTCCTTCATAATATTTCTGTAAGAAAGGGCTGCTCTGCAAAAGGGAAGCTAGAGAATCACTAACGTTTGTGGCTACAGAGGAAGGGAAGTGTCAAAACCACAGCATCTACCTCCACAGCTCCCACAAAGCATGTTCTCACAGCTTGGGGTGAGCGCAGCTACTGAGGGATGCATGTGCCCACACTGAGGTAATGGGACTGTTCTTCTGAGTTTTCCTCATTATATGTGTTCAGAAGAGGGAAAGAAAAATGAGAAACATCTTAAATGACACTGGTGACATATTAGAATATGAAATAGGGTTTCTAGACCCTCTGTGATCCCTTGAGCACAAAGGGGAAGACAAGATGTCCCCCCCGAATACAGAATGTAAGAAATGGGCCATTTAAAACACTTTAATGGAGAGACTAGAGTTGATATATTAACCTTGGGTTCTCCCAGAACTTAATTTTTTACTTTTTCAAAACTCATTCCACTTTATTATCACTATTTGTTGAATATATTAGTTGAAATAGCTCTGTTCTTCTGAACTGTGGGTCAGAGATTTGACTCAGGATCTCACAGAGGCTGCCCTCAACTGAGAAGAGCCAAGAGGAAAATTTTGGCTGAATATAAGAGGCTGGAGTTGACTAAACTGTGCTAATGTTAAAAGATATAAAATAGGAAATTTCTTTCAACAGCAATTACTTCACAGTATCACATGGCTCAGGTTGCCAATTATCTTGATGAGAAACACTAAAGAGAAAAAAGAAAACTCTTGGCTTGGGATTCTTACAAAGGATATTTAATGAAGGTGTTCTCAGCATGGCCCATCCCAATGTCTGATGAGATTTCCTGTCTGGGAAAGGTCCTGGGCATCTCAGCCAAACACTCCAGGCCCAGGGCCAGTGATCATGCCTTTCCACAGTACTCTACTGATTCAGTGCTTGGACAGCTGGTTTTCCTTCCCCTTCATAAGATGTATGCTCCTGAATGGTGGTCCTAGACCCAGGGGCTTCTCTAGAGTCGTTGGAGTCAGGAGAAGAGCCTGTGGCACTGAACTTCATGCAACTATCACTATCCTGTCCATAATACGCTGTGATGAAGCTTTTACCCTCCAGAAATGAAAAAATGATTTCACTGATACCCCCTGTTATGGGTTGAGTTGTGTGTCACCCAAATTCATATATTCAAGTCCTAATCTTTACTGTCTCAGAATATGACTATCTTTGAAATTAGGGCCTTTATAAGGCTAATTAAGTCAAAATGAGGTAATTGGGGTAGACTTTATCTAGCATGACCAGTATCCTTACAAGGAAAAGTGAGTGCACCCAGACAAGCATGGAGGGAAGGTCATGTGAAGACAGGGGAAAAGACAGCCATCTCAAGCTAAAGGGAGAGGCCTCAGGAGAAACCAATCCTGCTGACACCTGGATCTTGGAGATCTAGCTGCCAGAATGGTGAGAAAATAAATTGACATTGTTTGAGCCATACAGTCTGTGGTACTTCTTATGGCAGCCCTAGCAAACTAATACACATTATCTTGGGGAGCAAAGGAGAGAAAAAAGTGTTATCAGGAAAAGAAGAGAGGGAGGACGAAAAGAAGAAAGTAAAGAAGCTAGAGAAAAGAAAGATGAAGAGCAAGAGAAGGACCAAAAGGAGAAGAAACTTACAGTTAAAGTTAGAGATACTTTAAGGACTAAAATTTAAATCTCTATATTATATACAAACCCTAAATTCATCTTGTTTATTTATATATGTATGCACACATGTATTTATTTGTTTATTTAGCTTCAGGCCGACCTCTTTTTCCTGAGCCCAGATCCAGAGTCTCCTAGATAGTCCCTTTTCCTTTCTTAGTCTTCCTCAAAGTCCACTAATGTCTGGATGGGGTTCTCTCTTACCATCCCTGCTACAACCCCAGAAAGTGTCCATTCAATGCCCCTATGATTTCTTGAATGAGATCATCCATAATATAGTTTTCTCGACTAATAACCCTCACAGACTAACAATTCTAGCATTATCATTTTTTAGCACCTGTGTTAGGAGTAAAAATGATCTCTTTTTTCAATGTTTTCTCATCTCATACAGAAAATTTGCAACCACTTCCCCGTCCCCTACTCAAATATGAAAATGGAAAGTGGGAATACACAGCGGACCACAGAAAGTGATTTTTAAGGGAGTGTGTGCAAGTTTTTATGAAGATCAGGAAAGAAGGGAAAATTATCACAATTCTCATATAATCATCTGTATCCTGAATCTCTATCACTTGTGATCATTGCTCTCCACTCTTTAAAACCAAGAACTATAATTATAACTGCGTGAAACAGGTAGGAGTTACACATGATTAAAGAAAGAAAAAAGATAAAAAGGATTTTGATTTTGTTTCTTAGGTTAATTGTTTTGTTTTCTAATTTGCATTTGAAATGTAGGTAATGTCAAAGGAGTTTTAAAGTTTATTAAAAACAAAGGTTTTTATTTTAATTCACTAAAAATAAGGATCAAAATAAGGCTTCATTAAAAATAAGATTGTTAAGCTGAATAAAAACCCATATTAATGATGAAGTAAGACATTTAAAGATAATGAAGGGAAAAAAGTTTGGGGTTTGGGAGGAGAGAATGGCAAATAAGGATTGAGGCAGAAAAACAATCTAATATACATTAGAGTAGAGAGACTTTGAGAGCTTAGAAGAGGAGCCTCCACCAATCTTTGTCCATGTTTTTAACCAAAAGAATAGTAAATTACTATAACATAAGGGTCCTTTTGCCTTTATCAAATGAGGTCTGTGGATTGAAGCTAGGTCTGCTCAGCCCTGACAATGTCCTCTGTCCTTCCTGAGAAGACAGCAAGAAGTGAGGGCTTTCCTGGGGATGGCTTGGATTCTCACTGGGGCTGATCTTGGTTTGGGTTCTCACTAGGGCTGATTTCCTGATGACACTGCCCTTAACTATACAATCTCTCTGATCCCATGTCTTCTGCAATTTCAGAGACAACCTTCCCTTTTTCTTAATTCAGGGAAAATAGAAACACCAGTCTTCCAGCAGTGATTAAATGTGAACGCTCAGAGCTGGGAAGGAGAAGGAGAGCTGGAGAAAGATGAACAAGAAGCAGGGATTTACACTCTCTGCTCCTTTCTCCCTCCAAGTCTCTCAGGATTCTATCTTTTATTTTATGATCCTTTAGAAATGTCATCTCCCTATGTTTTATGTTTGCTGACTTACTTTAGGTAATGAAAGAGGGAGTGTTTCATTCACAGACTTTCATGGAAAGATGTGATCATAGTGATGGCTCAAGTTCATTAAGCATTTACCACAAGGCATGCCCTATGTTAACACTTGACATCTTTAATCTCATTGTTTCTTCCTTACAACAATATGAAGGGTTCACTATTGTTCTGAACACTCTACAGATGGGATAATAAAGACACGTAACAGATTAAGCAACACAGTTAGTAGATGGTGGAACTGTGACTCAAATGTAGACTTTTTGGCCACTCCTATATGAGAGAAAAGGGTGAGATAAAGAAGGGAAAAGAAAAGAAAAAGATGGAAAGAGCATGTTGAAATAAATGAAGTCTATTTGAGTGATTCTTAATAATGTGGAAATCTGAACTTTCACTATAAAAACTCATCAGTAAGTATTGATTTTATAAAATTAAACAATAAATGCTAGTGTCTTAGCCAGCAGTTCTGGTAAAACTAAAGGATTTTTGCCAGCATTTTTAACTGAGTTCTCTCAGCTTCATCATTTGTCAAAAGATAAAATAATACCTGCCTCCTCCATGTTCCCATCACCTGATAGTGTATGTAAACCTGCTTTGAATAAAATTAAAACTGATATAATATATATTTGATTTTCAAAAGCTTCTGAGCACTTTGGCTTAGTTATATTTACCAAAAGAATGTATTGTGGTTTTCATAACAAGTTTAAGAGCAACAGCCAAATTTGTAGCAAGTAGATAATAAAACTTTCCTACCACAGAGAGTAATTGTCAAGATCCTATCACCTGGAGCACAATATTGATAGTGGCAGTAGTAGAAATAAATTGGATCTAGTAAAAATAACAGATGTTTTGAGTTAATTTGGTTGACTTTCCAGGCAGAAAGAGAGCTAAGTTACATTTGACTTTGTATTGAATACACTAAAAGCAGTTCACCAAGAAAATGGCCAGCATTTAGTACAAGTATTCAATAGAGGAAATTATTGGAACTAGTTGTATATTTTACCAATGTCAACTCTGATTAAGTTCACATAATTAGCTGACATCAACCTAAACTTATGAACTGCAAGAAGTTCTAACGTTCTAACTCTGTGATATTTTTCACTTAATAATTTGTGTTGTTAATATAACTAATAATGATAATTATTAAATCATTATTTAATCATTAAAATAGGATAGATTAGGAAATAATATTATAAATAAAATAAAATGCATGCATATTACTAGCATAATACTGTTCTTGATATATAGTAACAATAATAAACATTTGATGAGCAGTTACTGTGCCAGGTCTTGTTTTAAGCACTTTATACTCCTTTGAAGCCTTGCTAGGTAGATACTAATAATAACACTATTCTTTTACTGTATAAGAGAAAACTTAGATAAAGAAATGTTATTTAATAGCCTAGGAGTAGGTTATTCAATTAAATAAATAACTCCCTAAGAAAAGTGCTAAGCCAGGAAGTGAGACTTATATTTTAAATGTTTTTACTCTTCTCAGAGCAAAGAATTTTTATTCATTGCTCTGAGAACCGGTGAGATAAGACATAAGACAAATATAAATGTATAAAAATCCATAATTCTAAACTAACATTGTGCACTTCAAAGTAATCATTTTGAGTAATCTACATATTGGTTTCAGTGATGTAGCTAATGCCTAGTATGTAACTACTCTTTGAATTCTTTTGATAACTGTGGCATGTTCCTTGAAATCTTCCCAATGGTATCAAATTTTATTCCTTTAAGAAAGGTCTTAAATAGAAGAGGGCAAACTTTTTGTATTAAGGGCCAGATAAAAAATATTTTTTGGCTTTGCAAGCCATATTGTTTACTCACATTGCAGTGCCAAATTAGCAATAGACAGTATGTCAATTAATGGATATGATTGTATTTCCATTAAATTTAATATACAAAAATATTCAAAGAGCAAGATTTAGTTCAAAGGCCTAGTTTTTTCTTTAAAAATGAATTCATAGTTATTACTGTTGTTTTGGCAAGAAGCAATCAAAATCATTCAAAGGCAGGTAAGACCCAGGTGAAAAAATATATATGTATATATATAAGAGAGGTGCTTATAAAATACTACTATTTATTTTTTGTATGACTCAAAAATAATCTTTCAAGGAAACACTAATAGAAGATTTCCTCATGAGCTATTGGAATATAATCATGATCTCATAAGGTGACTAGTTTGTAGAAAAATGGGATTGTTTTAAATAGTTAATGGCTTGTGAATAATCTATAAGTCAGGAACTTTAATTTCAAGACATTTGAAAAAAACTTTAGAATGCCTTATCTTTATTGTGTGTGTATACTTTAATTGCAAACTTTTCACCATTTATGGGAACATTTTTACTATTCATGACAGAGAGTTGATTACAGTAATTATTTGTATTAGTTGCAATTTTGCAAGCATAAATATAAAATGATGAAGTTTAGAAAGTGATATTTTAATGTTTCTAGTGGGCCTTGCATTTCTCATGATTGAGAGCATTAGCTGAAATGACGTTAGTATTTAGAGAAATCCTGTCTTGTGATCCACTAAAGAAGATATTCCTTCTGGTTTTAGCTGTTAATTGTAAATGCTTCTTGATGAATTAGTCAATGATGACATAATCAGATCATGCAAGCAAATTTTCTTGCAATGATGACTAAACTTTCACTGCAGAAAGTTAAGATGGCTGTACATTTTTTCTCATGGGTACAAATAATTTTGTGTTGCTCCAGTAATCCAAGAAATGTCAGATTTTATCAGTTCATGTACTTCTGTTTCATGCTCACTAGAAAGATTACAAGTCTCCATCTTTCTCTTTCCAGGGACAGAAGCAGCTGTGAGTCCAACTGTTGGAATTCACTTTCAAACCCCAAACCCTGAACTGTTTCCTGTTCCATGTTTTGGCACATTAAGCCCCCCACCTCCATATGAAGAAATTCTAAAAACAAGCCAATTTTAGATCTGGATCATCAATTTAAAGTATTAGAAACATTTGTAATTCTAAAACATCAAATTTAGGAACAATTCTTTCATTTAATGGAAATTCCCAGAGATCTATTAATATAGTCTGAAAAAAGACAAATAGACAAAAGAATGGATGTGGAGAAAGAATTTTGGTCATGGAGATGTTTAAATAGTGAGTCAGTGGATTCTTGATGTATCACAGCTGTGTTATACTTTTATGCTACACAATCAAGTTAATGTCTCTCTATTAATACCCCAATAGGCAGTAATTAGGTGCTAGAAGTAGTCTCCATTACATGTAGGATTCCACGTCAGTACACATCACACCATTCTCTGCCTCAATATCTCTGTCTTAATCTGATGTCTCGCCTAGTATGGAGTCCATACAAATTATCATAATTTAACAATAGTCTAAGCACATGTTCAGACCTAGAGCCAGAGAGAGAGTATTTGAATTAGAGTGAGGAGAGAGAATAGGAAGAAGCACAGTTTGGAGTTGAAGGGTGAAGGATAAATGAACAGGAAAAGATTACAAGTCTCAGTTTAAGAGGTCATATGCCTCATCTTGAGGAGGGAGAAAGTTTAGATAGGAGTTGAAGGAGATTTCTTAAGACATGGGGCATATGTAATGCCACTATAGGGAGAGAAAGATGAATTTCATTTTATGTGGTGAATGTGGGCTCAGAAGTCCACAGCCTTTCTCTGGTGCCTCAAAGTTTAGCATTTATTGCAAAACCATGATAAGAACTTTTAAGAAACTTTGGCATCAATGTCAGTGTCCTCATGGAAGACTCTGACTGCAGAAGTAGCAGTGAGACATCTTCAAGGGGCATTTTGGCAATTGCCATCAGCAGCAGGGCAGGAGAAGAAATCCATGGAAGATGCCATATGGTCTTTAGCTGACAAATTTGTTTAACAAAACCATTGATATCTCCACTTGGCCATCAATAGATACCTAAAATTTAACTTGACCGAACTTATCTCCTCATCTTCTTTTCCCAAATCTGTTTTATCCAAACCTTCCCCATCTCAGTTAATGGTAACTGCATCCTTCCTGTTGATCAGTCCTCTCTTTGTGTTACTTCCCACATTCACTTTCTCAAAAATCTTATTGACACTACCTTCAAAATATGCTTAGATTCTAAACAGTTCCTACTTGCTACAAGCATCTAATGATGCATGAGTAGCTAAACTCATCTGTTTGCTACTGCCTTTGCCATCCTGTATTCTATTTGCAACACAATAGCCATAGTAACCATTTTTAATAGACTATTTTTAGAGCAGTTTTAAGTCCACAGCAATATTGAGCAAAAGGTACATAGATTTTCCATATCCCCATACTCCCACACATGTATAGCCTCCCCCATTATCAATATTTCCTGCCAGAGTGGTACATTTGTTACAACTGATGAGCCTACACTGATACACCATTATTACTCAAAGTCCATAGTTTATATTAAGGTTCACTCTTGGTGTTATACATTCTATGTGTTTAACAATTCCATGATGACATGTATCCACCATTACAGTATCATACAGAGTAGTTTCACTGCCCTTAAATGTCTTCTGTGTTCTGCCTCTCCATTCCTCCCTCCCCTCTGACTCCTGGCAGCTGCTGATGGTTTTGCTGTCTCCATAACTTTGCCTTTTTCAGAATGTCATATAGTTAAAGTGATACAGCATGTAGCCTTTTAAGATTATCCTCTTTAATTTAGTAATATGCATACAAGTTTCTTCTATGTGTTTGAATGGCTCGATAGCTCAGTTCTTTTCAGCACTGAATAAGATTTCATTATGTGCATGTACCAGTTTATCCCTTCACCTACTGAAGGACATCTTGGTTGCTTCCAAGTTTTGGAAATTACGAATAAAGCTGCTGTCAACATCCATGTGCAGGTTTTGTGTGGGCATCCATTTTTAACTCCTTTGAGTAAATACCAAAAGCACCCTTCTTGGATCGTATGTTTAGTTTTGTAAGAAACCACCAAACTGTCTTCCAAAGTGGATATACCATTTTGTGGTTCCAATAGCAAAGAATGAGAGTTCTCATGGCTCCACATTCTCACCTGCATTTGGTACTGTTGGTGCTCTGGATTTTGGCCATTCTAACAGGTGTGTAGTGGTATATCATAGATTTTTAAAATTTGAGTTCTCTGATGACATATGATATCGAGCATCTTTTGATAGGTAATCTTTTTACAATATAAGGAGCATCACCACGTCCCTGAACTAAACTCTGAGATACCACACCTCAGTCAGAGAAAATGCCCAAGTCCTTGCCACATAGCATTATATGATCTGTACCACTCTCAGGTCTCTTTTCTTATGATTACTCATTTGCTCTGGGAACATTTGTACTCAAACCTACCAGGTATTATCCTACTTCCATCTTGCTGTTCCTTGTGTTTTTCACCCTCTTCTGCCTGATATTTACATTGCTTCACCCTTCACATCTTTTAAGTCTTTGTTTTAAAGTTACTTTTTCATTGAGACCAACCCTGATTATTCTGCTTTAAATTACAGCCTCTCCCAACCCTGGAACTCTCCATCACCTTATCTCAGATACACTTTTCCTTTTTTCCATAGCACTTACTGTTTTTTACTATACTATGCAGCTGAATTCTATTTATAGTCAGATGTTTGTCTTCTCCTGCTAGAATGTAAATCCATGAGTAGAGGAATCATTGTCCTATTCACTGCTTTGTACCCAAGTGTCTAAAGCACCTTCTCGATATGTAGTATGTATTAACCTGATTCTGTAAGAAATGTTCCCTAGTTCTGGAAATTCCCCCAAATAATGAGTATTTGATGGGCACGAAATCTTAGGAAAGTAAATATGGGTAAAAGTCAGGGACAACTGACTCAGTGCTGTTAACATAATCTCACTTGTACCCACTGATGAAAAAGGTCTGAAGAAACTTGTATTAATGTAATGTAATAATCTCTGATATGTATGTAGGGTGTTATGATGCACAAACTACTTTCAGATTAAAATATACTATTTAATTAAAATATACTATTATACTAATTAAAATATACTATTAAAATATACTACTAAAATATACTATTCAGATATACTATCAGATTTTATTCTCATAACAATTTTCTGACCTGGCTATTCTTAATATCAAGTTATACATGGTAGAATGAAAATAACTACTCACTTTGGAAATCCACTAAGAATACAGTGAAGGAATAAAAATACTTTTAATTCACAAGGACAAGGAGAGTAGTAAGAAGATGAGAGTTAGCCATAAGATTTTAGTACCTGGAAAGATGAATGAGAGGATATACATGATTATTGTAATTGACTGGAGCTTCAACTTTCTCCACATTGCTACGCATCTTTAAGCAAGAACCTGAGAATGATCAAGCAAATCCATGCCATAACAATCCAGAAATGCCCAAGAATTAGAGACAAGAGAAGTGAAAAGGATTCAGAAAATGACATTAAAGTTTGTAGGAAGATAGCACACCAGTTCCCATCAGAACATGACAGCAAAGAGTTGCAGGAGATAAGGAATGATTAAAGAAAAAATAATGTAGCTGTGGTGTTAAATTAGTTATTGATAAATACAAAATAAAGAAAGTGAAAAATAAGGTAATTATGCTCATTAAAAAGTTGGATAATTTTAAAAAGTGGGTAAACTACAAATATTGTAAATAATTAACATTGTTTAAAATGGTTAAGCTGTAAATAATGTAAATAATTGATATTGGTTAAATCAATTAAAATCATTAAATTAAAACTTTAAAAAATATACATTATTTATATTGACAAGCTGGCCAAAGGGAAAGTGCTTGTGAGGGAAGGTGGAGGTAAGGAAACTAAATCCTAATCTTAGATTGTAGAAAGTCAATTAATAATAACTTAAAGGAAAAATCAAATGGCAGTAGAGCACATCATTTCAAAATTATGCCATAAATATATGAAGCAAAATGCTAGAAGAATTGAAAATTATTGTCACATAAAATCTTTAGGTAATGGGGCGACAGGAGATTTTATTTTTTATACATGATTCTGGATTTTCTAATTGTTCAATAATGTGTGTATATTACTTTTACAGTTAAAATTTACAAAATTTCTGTTTTGAAAAGTAGACACAAAAGAATTATGTGTGTGTGTGTATATATATAATAGTTTTCATTTAACAGATGAGAAAATGTGAACTCTGAAAGAGGATTTGATTTGCCTAAGGTGTATAGCTAATTAGTGTGAGAGATAAAACTAGAGACTAGGTATTTTGATCTTTCAATTCCTATTCCAAGTATTTTTCCACTATAATCTTCCAACTCCAAATTGGCTATGAAAATAAAGAGAATGTGGATTATAATTACATTTATTTCAAATAAGTAATTCTAAGAAACAAGTTTTCATTTGTATCCTATGAGCTATTTTATGTTAAAATTCATCCCATTTACAGAGCAGGCCTTAGTTATAATTATTAATGACACCTAGAAAAGTATAAGCACATCCAGAAATAGTCTAATGATTTAGCAGCTGAATTTTGCCTAAGACATTAGTGAAAATCATGGTTGAAGCAATCAGAATGTGCTTTTAAGTGACTTGTATTTATGTGTCAGTGCAAGTTTAATTAAAGTGCATCCTTAGCATGTGGTTTGTTGGTTTACTTTTGAGTAGTGTAGGAGGAAGTGTGAGAATAGGCAAATAGGCAAGTGGGTAGGACTATTAGAAAAAAAGAGTTTAATTTCATAGAAACTTTACTGACAAAGTCCTCTTAACAAATATCACAGGTTACATTTTCATTTAATGTCTGAAAAATGACTGAACTGAATGACTATTTGTGTGCAACAAACTTTGTTAGTATTACTTTAGTTATCACTGGTGGAGTGTCCACCAGTTTTTCTTTCAAATAGCAAGTGGCTAATGGAAATTGCTCTGACCACTATCCAGAGAGAGACCTGAAAGTTCTGTAGCAGGTACTCTTCATGGTTCACTGACTACTATTGCAAATAACAAAATAACAATGCTAATTTTGATTTTATGATTAAATAAATTTAAAGAGATAAACATGTATTCCTTTTCTGGTGTCTCATCTCTGAAAATATATTCCTGTTTCTTAGTTCTGTAATTCTGTTTTAACTGGGTGCCTCCAATTTTATTTCTAACAGAACTGGATGTTTTTTTTTTGTTCTCATATTAAAGAATGTTCATTTTATAAATGACATTTTTCTTACTGCTAAAAGGTAAGTAGTTCTTTCTTTGTGTGTCCACCAGAGGGCATGAAAGCCTATCTATGATTCCAGCCCATTAACTAGATTTGATTTAAAGAGTAAATGAAACTATAAGCTGAGTTACTACTATTATCAGATTATTGACAGACCCTAGCAATATGAAAAAATAATGGGGTTCCAATTTGAAAAGAGGTATCTGGTACTTTAGCTCATATTGCGCACATGTAACCTGTGCATCAGGTGGGATGCCTGCCATCAGAAGAGTAAGTTTGAGACATACTCCATCTTCAGGGATGAGAACTTTGAGCTTGAGTTGCCTGCAAGGGTGGGCTAATCTGTGCATATGATGCCAATGTGATATGTAATATCTACAACACTGACCTTATAGGTGTAGCTTATTTCTTTTTTACCTGACTACAATTTCTCTTTAATTTTCAGTTTTGTAGTTCCAAATTTGTTTCATTTGTGTTAGGAGCACAACTTTTATAAAAGACAACTTTGAAAGTCGATATCTTTCACAGAATGAAATAAAGCTGTCATAGAACTGAAAAGCATTGGTTTGGATAATAAAATGAAAGTCACCCAGGATATTATATTAAGGCAAAATGTGATATCTTCACAATTATTTTTGTGTAAAGGAAGAGTGAGACAATGAAAATATGTTGGTTATAAGACCCACTCTTAATAATGATTTTTTTTAAATAAAAAGAAAGGGACTAGAATCCAAATAAATTTTTACTTTCAAATCTATTTGTTTGTGATTTACAAATAACTTCATGCAGGTATTTTTATATTTAATATTAGATTCTTGGCAAAATAGTATCATTTTTATGTTATTTTACTAACTATAGTTCCAGAAAAGTGAAGAAATGGTTCCCCTTATAAAATGAAGTAATTGGTGATAAACAATGTAATTTTTATTATGCCTTTGGAAAAAGTTATCTTTCCTCTAAAATTATGCTCATCTATACCTATGATCTGACTCATGAAGGAAACAATGTATATCAACCAGATGCAGATTTTATATTATTAAAAGATAGTATTGCTCAAAAGTCCTGAAATTACCAATGAAAGTAGGTTGGATAAATTTCATTATCATGTTTGTTGGGAGATTTCTCTTTGGAAATCTGTTTATGGGATATAATAAGTTAACTAAGTTTCTTTTATCTAGTAATTAATATAATAATGTCTGTCTTTATATTTAATAAATAGCCAGATTTTTCTCCAATGGATAGGAAAACAGACCAAATAAAGTGAAGTCATGTGTTAATTCAGATTATTCTCTCTTTTATGTACTAAATCTAGGTAAATTTATAATATTAAAGAGTCTTCGGTACTACTGACTAATTGACTTCTAGATTTAGAAGGGCTTAAATGATTATCTTTTCTTGAAGAAACTGAGAGACACAAAATACGAAAGTCTAGGGATTTATTAGAAATAACCTGTGGACAATTGCATGCTTACCTGATATCCTGTGGATTGCTGGCCACCTGAGACATGGCCAACAAAATATATTGATGCTATTTGAGGAGAGTTGGAATAAGAAATGGCATGGCAATCTCTTAAGAGTGACAAAACATTGCTGGGATGCTAAGCTATGTCTGGAAATGTAAGAATTTTTTTTTTTCTTTAAGGAGAGTATGCAATTAAAAGGAATACTTTGATAAACTGCTAAAAGTAAGGGACAGCCACCCAAGGCGCACACTCAGGTAACAATAGATGGTCACTAACTGCCAGCCTTTGAGGTACACATTTTTGGGATCAGAACTAAACTGTGCAAAACCTTCAAGGAGAGTTTGTTATGTATATATGTATATATAAATATACACATATATAAATATGCATATACATATATGTACAGTATATGTATTTATTTTATTATATTTTTGTTTGCATAAGGAGTGGATTCCATTGGAAAGGCAACAAGAATTGAAATATGCTCAGAAACAGCCATCACTGAAACATGAACTCCATGTGATTAAGCCTCCACTGTGATTTATAATACGATCCCCCACATCTTTATTTTATCTAGCTTTGGCAATATTTATTGACTGCTTCACTTTCTGCCATATTAGCTAAATTAGCTTATTTTGTTTCTATTTACAAAATTTGAAGACTTTCCCTTCTCCAGTAGAGTTCCCCTCTGACTGCCTTCTCTAATCAATACTTCCCATTCATTAGCTTTAGAAAACAACAATACTGTATAATGTCCATTTTAATTGAGAGGAAGGAAAACTACCATTTGCAACTAGGGCATTTCTCAACCTTTAAGCTTACATAGGCTTAGTTTTGCATATAACAGCTTAATTTAGAAAACAGCAGAAAAATTTGATGATTTCAACAATCCTTACTAGGTTTCCACCTAAACCCAGCTTTTTCCTAGCAGACTCATCATTATAAGTAAAGAGCCCAGGTCTACTTTGCTTCATCTCCCTATATCTGTACTAAGGTTTTATCACAAAAGTATCCCTTTTACTTGCTTTTTATAATATTTCCAATTTCCTTTCCAACTCCAATTTTGTTTTTTCTCCCTAATTATTATCAACAAACATTTACCCTGTCAGTTTTGTGGAGGCAGCTTAATTCTTGCAAAGGAAACCTTATACTATTTCACATTTGTCAAAAGTCTCCCTAACTGTGATTTGAATAGTGATTATAGAAATTAAAATTATATTATTTTGCTTAATCATGACATCAGTATTTTACAGTATTTTACTTAAGCATGGTATTGACTCCAAGTTGTGTATCATTTTGTATCAAATTAGAAAGAACATTTTTTAGACAACTGAAATAAACACTGAGAAATTGATATCAAGAAATTGTTAACTATTAAT